CCCTCCGCCTTCTCCTCCCGCTCCCGGCATTCCGCCGCAGCAGCGCCGGCAACGTGGTCGGTTCCCGGCGTGCGGCTCCCCCGGGAGCGCGGCCCCGGCGCCCCCGCGGGGGCCCTTCCCCGGGCCGCGGCCTGCGCTGCCCACGTGTGCGCGGCCGCGGCGCCCCCGCGCAGGCCGCGCCGCCTTTCTCTGCCGACTCATGGCGGCGGCGGGGCCGGGGGCCGCCGCCGAGCGCGGCTCTGCCCGGCGCGATCGCTGCCCCAGGGTAGGGGCACGGCTGAGGAGCGGGGGTCCCCGAAAAGGGGAGCGGAGGGGCTGCGCTGTCCAAATCGCGCTTGTAACCCGCTGCTGTCGTCAGCAAAGGCTGAAGCTGCAGAACACCATTTCCTCGCCTGTCGGGATGGGTGTTGCACTCCCCTCGTACCTGCTTCAAGTGAATCGGGAGTAGGAGAAAACCTCAGAAGTTTTCACTAAGCATCTTGTTTGGCGAAGACTTAATCTTTTTCTACCTGTCTCTGTTAGCTCTGAAATCACACTGCCAGATGTGCCATCAGATTCCCAATTACTGTAGATGCCAGTGTTTTGTAAGAACTGTTACTGCCTAGCATGATGATTCATCAGAGTTATTGATCTTTGGGAGACGGACAGCTCTGCAATTTTCACCTGGAAAGCTGTCATCTTAATGGGAAGTATAGAGGACAAGTTAATCGAGCCAGGTAGAAGTCTGTGTTCGGATTGTTTGTCATTGTAGTCATGGACATAAGCAAAGCTTAAGGAAATCCAGGACAGCGTCGCTGTCTGCATTTGCCTCGTGCGTTATGACACAAAACTGGTCACATCCCTCCTTTGTGTGAAGGTTGCCCTCTATTGTGATGCCTTCTGAGATAACGATCCCGAGAAATAAACCAAAAAAAATGCAAAACTGCAAGGTTGGATGTTCCTGTTTGAGTCTCCTGTGTAAGGAGTGTCCGTGTTCATTACCAGACTCATCATTCGCAAAGGTGTATGATTTGTCAGTCAGCAGCATCGAGGCAACTGCCCAACACAAACAGGGGGCCTTTGCAACTCCTGTGGTGATTTTTGGAGGGAGAGAGTAAGAGTATGTTATTAGCATGTCCACGCAGTTGTAGGGTAAGGGAGTAATGCTGCAACTCTCTGAATTGTCCTTGGGCCCAGCACAGTTGCCTCTGTATTCCTAAAGGTGTCTAAAGAATGGAATTTGTTAGTGGTGTGTTCTGGGACGCTTGGCAGCAGTGACTGTTTCCAGCAGTGCCCCCAGTGCTGCTGCCTGGCTCTCCTCTCTTGGGCCATTGTTTCTTTTGCTGCCTGTTCATTAGCAGAAGAGAAAACGTGTAAAATAAACACGGCTGGTGAGCTCCCACGAGGGGCAAGGCTGGCAGCTGACCTTGCCTGGCAGCCCTGCACCCAGGTGACTTCTCGTAGAGTTTGCAGGCTCATGTTGTGTCTTCATTTCATTGGGTGGAGGATTTGTTTTGGCAGACACCAAAAAAGATCTGGAGCATGAATTTATGTGAAAGAATCAGCTGGTGAGGTGAGTTGTAGTGTTGTAGTGACCTCTCCAGGAGGATCACCCAAGGAAAGCGACTCTTTTTCTATGCTTGCAGTGGGTTGAGATCTTCTGAACTCTGGAAAGTCACTTCTGGAAATCTTTGGTTTCTCAGCAGAGGTTACAATGCCTTTGCCCATAATCCAGTGTTCCAGTGCAGTGCTTGTGTTCTGGAGATTCTAAATGTTTCCAGCCCTGATCCACCAGAGGTAGCGAGGAGACCAGAAAGCATAGTGAAGACGGCTCTGTAAAGATAAAGGGATCCCTCTAGGACTTGTTTTACAGGCTTTGAAAGCCCTAATTTTTTTTTATAACGATTGTACTAATTATAGACCCGTAAAGCAGATTTAATGGACAAGACCTTCTCCATAGGTGTCCACGCATTCTGTAATGGCCTGCGTTGGAATTGGTGCTTATAAAAGTAAAAGTATTGAGTTCAGGGAAAACAGAGCCACCTGTAAGATCTTGGTGATTTTCTGCTGTCCCTGTTGGAGACTGGATAGGGAAGAGCTTAACAAATCCACCTCCAGATGGTCAAAACACCATCAAAACAGTTTGAGCTGTTTGACTCTCCCTGGCTGGGCAAGTTGAGTGCAGTGGGGGCCTGATGAACAGGGCCGTTTTTTTCATGGATTAGGCTTTACCTCTAGAAGCTTGTGTCTTGTCTACCTGCTGCAGTATTTTTCTGCTCGAAGTTGGCAGTGCAGCCTGTAATATAATAGGATGTTCGAGCAAACCTTTCTGCTTTTTCAGGAAGGAGGGCCCTTGAAGTGATGCCTCTCCTTGCTTCTTAACCTCCCAAATGCACAACGGCTTGGCAGTAAGTGGGGCAACCATTAGGTCGAGTTAGACAGCAGTGATACTGCTGATGCTGTGAGTGGAGGCTGAGGCTCATCTGGAGTGGCACAGGAGAAAATTTTCATGGTCTCTTGACAAGGTGCACGTTACCTTTTTATTCATGTATGTTTCCATCAGAGTGCAAGGTGCAAAGGGGAGAGGGCGAATCCTTTGAATCCTGAGATACACACATGGTCCTGTCCTGTGTGGCAAGGCTTGTACTTGACACTGCTGACTGCTTGTGACTGCTGCAGAGCTGTAATGATGCCTCGTTTTTACTCTCTAATGATCTAGTAGCAAGGTCTGTGTGACCATGCCCTCGTTATTACATGTTCTCTTCTTATCATGTAAATAAATGCAGCCGGCAGCCTGACTGACATATGATGGTAGTGTGTGTGTGTCTGTGGTAGTGAAGGAAGTGTTTTCTGGCAAAACCAGCTTTGCACTACTGGCTATAAACCAAATTCAAAGTCTTTTCTCCAGTTCTTCTGCAGATCAGATGTGTGGCTTGCAGTTAAGACAGCTCGACCTTCTGGAACATGTTGTACTCCTCCACTGTGCCCTGCACCAGGACTGGTGCTGATGCAAGCGTTGGTGTGGACAGGTGTTAACAGCACCCCGTTTTGAAAACCTGCTGGATGTATTTCAAGAAATGTTGCATCAAGGCACTTGGCACTTCATTATTTTTAAAGCCATTTACATCTTGGAAGTAAGAACACGCAGGTTTTAATGACCGGCACTGCAATTGCTGAGCTTTGCCTGCGCTAACTTTTTAAATTCTCCCTACAAGTGTTCGGCCAGGGAAAGCCATGCATTTGCTAGTGGAGATGCAGGAGGTGCTTTGAGTTCTTGAGCAGAGTTTCCTGCGTGCTGTTTGGCAAATGTGCTGGGTGGATAAGCAGTACGTTCCAGAAGGCACACCTTAGTTGCTAGCAGCAAGCACCAGGGTGAGCTAACTATTGTTGAGAGTGCATGTTGCTTTATGCCTGAGCAGAGGCTGACTTGGCTACCGGTCCTGAGGTGAAGGCAGGGGAAGATTCATTAGCATCTCACCCCTTGCTGACTAACTCCCCATAGGGCTTTCCTTGAAACCATCCTCCAGTGCAGGAGATAAGGTGGATGGGAAGCTTGTTTTACCGTTGGCATTTCTTCGTGTTCGGAGTAGGCACACATATCTGCTTGCTCAGGTATCCAGCTTGGTAGTCCTGCACACGCCTATTTCCAAAGTGTTGGGCAATTCTCACTCTGTCGTGGCATGTAGTTGTGGAGCTCTTCTGGCTGTTGCAACAGAGCTGCTATCGCAGCAGGAGGCCTCCCCCCCCACCGCCCCAAGTTTCCTCTCCAAACTACTGTTTTGTTCCAATCCCACAACTCACGTTTGAGTAACTCTTCCAACATCTTGTTGGGGTGGATGAGGGTTGTTGCTCCAAAAAAAACGTGAGGCTTAGTGTTTTCCCTCCCCCTCATACCTTTGCCCTTCAGCTTTGTGCTGGACCTTTGCCCTGTTCTGCACTGTTTGTTTCGGGAAGAGAAGGCTGGGGAATGCAGCGCAGCTCCTGGGAGCTGACTCACTGGCCCTAGTTGCTGGGCTTCAGTGCCTGCTTCTGCTGCAACCTCCAGTTCTAAACTGCCAGGTCCAGGGTGTCACTGAAGGATTCTCTCCAACCATCTCCTCGCTCTCACAACTCTTCTTTTAAACTTTATATTGCTCGTGGTGCCTGGAAGTCTCCACCAGGATTGTGGCAGCACAAGGACTTTGCTCGGATTTGAAGACAGATTGAGTCCAGAGAGCAGGATTGGGAATGGGGGCAATGGGACTGCAATGCTCTGCTCTCCCTTCCAAATTATGACACCAGATCTTTTTGCTGTGTTCGAACAGTGTGAAATTATCTTCAGAGCAATGCCAAGTGCAGACTTGGATATAATGAATCTCCAGCAGCATCTCTGTGGTTGTGCTTGTTTGGCAAAATAAGGAATGGGCATTTTAGTAGAAAGCTGTGCTTGCTGTTCAGACCAGGGCTGAGCATTTTAACCCTTACTGTTATTACAGGTGCTCTTACCCTAGGTCCGTTGGGTCTGGAGAGCTTTGTTCATTCCCAACCGCGATACGCCTTGACATTATGGTCTTTAATATGTTACTTACCCTTTGGTCATCTTGGCATTGAAGCCTTTGCTGACTTCCTACCAAGGGCCCGAGTCTCCACACTGCTGGCTCTGCCAAATCCCTGGCTTGCTGTGTACACAGGGAGCTTGGGGAAAGAGGTGATGCAACCTCCGTGAT